AGTACCACGGACTGCAAGAACAAAAAAAAACAAACACTCTGTCTTGGAAGAAGTACAGCCAGAAAGAATATTCCTTAGAAACAAGGATGGCAAGACTTCGTTTCTCATACATTAGACTTGTCAGGAGAGACCAGTCCCTGGGGAAGGATATCATTCTTGGTAAAGTGGAGGGTCAGTGAAAAAGAGAAAGCCCCTTAACAAGATGAATTGACATGGTAGCAACAATGGGCTGAAGGGTAACAACAAGTTTGTGTATGTTTCAGGACTGGGCAGTGTTTCCTTCTGTTGTGCATGAATTTAAACAGACTCAATGGTACCTAACAACAATAACAAAAAAGGGGAAACACACATTCTGTAAAAATACAATCAAGAGATTTATCAAAAGTACAGAGTCCTGGAATGGGAAAATTCATGATGTTAAGATGGCTACTCCACAGGACAATGAAGACGCAAGCATTCTTATTCAGTTGAAGCAGGAATCAAGCTACAAAATCCTAACTGTGTGAAAGACAATCCAGGAAGCTGAAGACCAGATAGCTGAGAGTGGACGTTTAGAATGGGTTAGGAGTCCTAGTATTCTGGTGTGGCACTGTGGGTTAATGTGCCAGACTGCAAAGCCATTTGAACTGCAAGGTTGGTGGTTCAAGCTCACCAGCTGCTCCTCAGAAACCCTATACAGTGTTGCTATGGGTTGGAATAGACTCAATGGCACTTAACAACAACAACAACAAGGAGTCCTAGTGTGGTGAGTCAGTTTGAACCTCAAGGTTGGCAGCCCAATCTCACCAACTGCTCCTCGGAAATCCTATCATGTTCATTATGGTTGAATCCAACTCAACGTCATTTAACAATAACAACAACAAACTGAGCCCTGGTGTGGTGCTGTAGGATAAGAACTTAACCATAATGTCTGTTTGAACCACAAGGCCCATGGTTCAAAGTCACCAGTCACTCCTTGGAAACCTTATACAGGTTTGCTATGAGTAAGAATAAACTTGATGGCACTTAACAATATCAGTGATTAACAAATATGAGGGATTACATAGTTGGTTAATGATACATAATTGCAAACATGCATGTTTTTCTGCTAATTGTGGGATAGCCACAGGACAATGGCAAGGTATATTTTTTTCTGGTAACCTGCTATTAAAACTGCTTTCTTAAACATGACTTTTCCTGGGTGTTCATTGTAAAGAAAATTTGTTGATAATGCGATATGGCAAGACCCTTCAGAAATCCTGGTGTGGCAATGTAGGATAAGCTCTGGACTGCTAACTCCAACGTCTGTGCCTCAAACCCACTCAAAACTCCTTGGAAGCCTATCTATCACAGATAATATAATTCCTTTAAGGTATGTGTCTAAGTCAGTACAAAGTTAAGAGAATCTATTGTTAGAAAAGGCTGATTAAAACTTAAATGTGGATTCTAGACTTATGGGAAGACTTCATGAGGGAGTTAGGGCTCTGCTTTCATGCTGCTGTATTTATACACACTACGTACACAGGTTGTAAACTCCCATACAGTGTGTTAACTGTTGACCAGTGCTGGGGCCAACTGCCACATGCAAAAATTGGCTATATCCCGTGACCACACGGAAAGATTAAACCCAAGCAGGGGTGACAGGAGATTAGAAAAAAAGGAAGACATAAGGTTACAATTGAAATTAAGTAAAGTTGGGAGCAGGTGGGACATAGCACTCTGATGGAGATACTGTGACTCTGACTTAGGTTCCACACATTTATTATATACACAAATCAAAGGAGGTGCTGGGGCAGCAAAAAGAATGGTGTTATCAATGCATGCAGTAAATGGGACTTTATCAAAAGAATGTAAATTGTGGTCGCCAAGGAGACAGATTAAGGCAGTTAGATGTTTTTGCAGACTAAACTGAAGTCCATGGCTTCATACAAGGAAACACTTTGCAAATTCCTTATTCCCTAAGGCAGGTTTTGTAAGTTCTTCAGGGGGCAGCCTGACCTGGGAGCAGCCCGATTTTCTGGACCACAACTGTTTAGTTGCAATCCTTCCGTTAAACTGCCCCCAAATCTGAGACCTTCAGTTCAAATCGCTCCAACAGATTAGTTTGCTTTTCTTTATACATGACCTCTTTTTGACTCCATAACTGGAGAATACCATGTGACCCATAAAATCGTCAAATACTTTTTAATTTAAACACTTTACAAAGTGTAATTTCACTTTAAGAGTGATGATAGTTCCTAGATTTGGTTTCATGCAGAAATTAAATGTTTCTTGGACAGTTTGTTACTTTAAAATCAAGCTGAAATAGCCAAATTTCTCCTTGGAGTAAGTAAATCAACCTCACCCTGAATCTTCTGGGCCCTCTCTTCCACAGATGTCTACAAAGAAAGAAAATTGGGAAAACATTTTCCATTTTGTCTCTTTTGTACCCAAGGGAGGTGAATTGTTTAGAGAGTGGAAGGTCGATAGAACAATTTACTTAATGAAGCACTCTGAGATTTCCAGGGACTCTGGAATCTTTAAAGATGTCCTCACTGTCCTTTCCCCTATAAATATTTGTTTCCATTCTAGGTGAACACCACATAGAATTTCTCAGAGACAGACTATGGAGAAGATAAACAGCTTCAGTAATAACCTCAAAATGGGTTAGTGTGTATCATTGCGAGCTGGTGGAGTTAGAAGGAAAAGAGGAGGTAAAGGGGGCATTGGGCCTCATCTCTTTGGTAAGGAAACTTAAACTTCCTGTATTTGTTTAGAAATGTGAATTCTTTACAGTTAGAAGATATTATATTTCCTACAGCTGTCAGTCTTTCCCGGGTCTCAGAATGTTTCTTCTTTGTCTTTATGCAATGTAGACCTTTTCTACAAGCAGTATCAGAAGTAGGAAAATGGCCATATCTTGAATGTGTTATTTTCTAAAGAACCTTTGACTGAACCAGTTTTGACATTTAATCTTATGCGTCTCACCAAACATCACTTCTCCACTCTCTTCTATAAACTTTAGATTGCTATTAGATTTTCTAAGGATCCCTTGTAGTGTAATGAATTATGAGGTGGACGACTAACCCCAAGCAGTTTGAATCTACCAGTCACCCCAAGGGAGAAAGATGAGGCTTTCTGCTCCCATAAATATTTATAAACTCTTAAACCTTATACAGGGTCGCTATGAGTTGAAACCAACCTGATAGCATGCAACTACCACCCACCATCATTAGATTTCCTACATCCAGTATTTCTCTCTGTTATCTACTGGATGAGCATCTACTATACAGCATGTGTTATCTATTTTGGTGAGTACTGGATTTGAACCATGAAGTCTATTTGTGGGCCTCACAAGATGGATCTTTTCTAGCTCACATCCTCTGCGTTCCATCTCCTTGGTCTCTTAAATGCCTTCCAAGCTCACTGCCCCATATGGCAACAACACCTTCTGTTGTTTGAGCCCACTATGTTTGTTCTTTTCCTCACTTGCTCTTACTGACAACTACATGCTTTCTTCCCTCATCTCAAATGAACTTAGTATACAGAAGCCTTACTCTCTAACCACCCCTCCCCAGGCTAAATTATATTTGAATGACATTTTTGTCTGGAATGGTATTTTAGTTGTTTTGATTAGTTGCCATTCATTAAGCATAAATAATACTGTTTTTATTTCATGGAAAATGTCTATAGTTATTTCTTAAGTCTGACTTCTGATTCTTTTTAGTATGATGTGCTGCATAGAAGTATTTAAGTTTTAAGATCTAATCTGTACACCATATACTTTATAAATAACTCCACTTAATTTAACACAATAAATCCTCACCCAAATAGCATGTGCACATGAGTACATACACACACATAGCCTGCATTTCATTTGAATGATTATGTGCTTTTATTTTCTCCTGTTTCTATATAGTCCACATGCTCTTTCCTCTTCTTGGAAGAATTCATCTGTTAGGTGACTCTGAATGTGGTAGCTGTAGGGATCATCACTAATTAGACGTGCTGCATGGAGCTCAAAAGAGGTAACAGACTTGTTGTGTTTATGATGATCACAATTCTGCATTTCCTATCTTTCCTAGTTTAAAAGGGATATTGCTAAATAATAAATAAAAAGTAAATATGGTAAAACAAAGTCACAATTATCAAATAAGTGTTTGCTGTGTGATATACTAGAAAAGGTACGAGTAAAATTTCATTAATGCAATCATCAATCTCATCATATAGGAAATGTTTAGTGCTCACATTGGAGAGGTGAAGTATCTGCAGGTAAGATATATTAACTTATTTTTCAAGGTCACGCAGGAATTTACTTGGTAGAATTAAACTTCTGTGCTACACTTTGTTGTTAGTTGTTAAATGCTGTCGAGCCAAGCAATATCATTCAAAACCCCATTTTGAAATCACAGCTTTATAAAGTAGCCTGTGAAAACTATAAATCCAAAATAATAGTCATAAATGGAAGAGGTTAACAATAATAATAATTGTTGTTGTTGTCAAGTGCCATTGAGTGGTTTCTAATTCATAGCAACCCTATATAGGGCTTTCAGTGGTAATGATGATCAGATTCTTAAAAAGAAATAAAATTAGGCACCAACAGTTACCTGCCACATCAAAAGACAGGTCAATTTAAGACGTGGCTTTTCAACTCATATGAACTTTATTCACAAATCAGAGGTTCTGGAATGAAGGCAGTACAGGTATTGTCAGAGAATGTACATACTTCAGAATTAATATGTTTGCAATAACCTTGGAATGGTCATATCGAAGAAGACATTGGTTTATGTAAATAAATTCAAACTGGAGAATTAGAATCAGTGAATGAAAGCTAATAAAGGCATTTCTGCTAAATAAGTCTAAATAATGATATATGTCTAACATGGAAATGGGATATACGTGTGTCTGAGTTAAGTCACTGTCATTGGAGAACTCGATAACAAAATACAGGTGGTATTCTAAGGTCATGACTAGTTCAGATGACTGTTGATCATTCATTTAATGTTCCTTTTTCTTTCTTCTCCAGCCTACACACTAGTTACATGGAACCAGAAAACAAAACAAAAGTTTCAGAATTCATCCTGCTGGGCCTCTCAGAGGAACGTGAACATCAGCCTCTCCTCTTTGGACTTTTCCTGTTCATGTACCTGGTCACTGTGCTTGGGAACCTGTTCATCATCCTGGCCATCAGCTCTGACCCCCACCTTCACAACCCCATGTATTTCTTTCTGTCCAACCTGTCCTTTGTTGATATCTGTTTCATCACTACCACAGTTCCAAAGATGTTGGTGAACATCCAGACACAGAGAAAAGACATTTCCTATATAGGATGCCTTACTCAGGTATATTTCTTCATGATTTTTGCTGGACTGGACAATTTTCTTCTGACAGTGATGGCCTATGACCGATTTGTGGCCATCTGTTACCCCTTGAACTACACTATCATCATGAATCCCCGGCTCTGTGGCTTGTTGGTTCTGATGTCTTGGGTCATTATTTTCTGGGTATCCCTGCTTTATATTCTATTACTGATGCAGTTGAACTTCTGTATAGGCACTAAGATTCCACATTTCTTCTGTGAACTGGCTCAGATGATCAAAGTGGCCTGTTCTGATACTCTTATCATTAACATCACTATGTATGTCATGACTGCTCTGGTGAGTGTGTTTCCCCTGACTGGGATCTTATTCTCTTACTCTCAGATTGTTTCTTCCTTAATGAGAATGTCCTCTGCTGGGGGCAAGTATAAGGCATTTTCCACTTGTGGGTCTCACCTCTCTGTGGTCTCCTTGTTCTATGGGACAGCCCTTGGGGTCTACCTTAGTTCTGCTGTGGCTCATTCTTCCCAGAGAAGCTCTATAGCCTCAGTGATGTACACTGTGGTCACACCCATGCTGAACCCCTTCATCTACAGCTTAAGGAATAAGGATGTGAAGGGAGCTCTGGGTAGACTTTTCAACAGGGCAGCCTCTTGTCCATGATGGTCACTGCTTTCAGGGCTAAACAAACCCATGGTCTCCAAAACAATTGCCATAAATTTAAGTATCCTGATCCTCTTTTTTTCCCTAATGATATGCTTCATTTATGCTCTTCATAAAATAAAAAAAAAACAAAAAACCAAACAAAACAAAAAAACCCTCTGCTTTCTGCCTGTTATTGTTCCATTTATCCTCAACTGTTTCCTCTGTAATTCTCTTTGACTCTTCTCTCTCTTATTTGCTCTCCATAAAGTTCTTTCTTGGGCCAGCTTTCTTACTGTCATTCTTGAAAATTCTAGCCTTAGATTTTCAATATTATCAAATTCAAGTGCTGACATAGTTTCTTCCAATGTTGATCTCTCAAACATTGATGCTTTTCACCTCAGTCTGGTTGCATGTGAGTTTTCCCACTGTTGTTTTTATTAAGTGCTTTCAAGGTGGTTCCAGTTCATAAGGACTCTCTAGAGGGACTCCAAGGAGTGGCTGGTGAGTTTGAATCACCAAAAATGTGATGCTCATTCCAGTGTTCATC